GAATGACAAAGAAATTGGGGCTCTTAGATCCTTTTTATGCTTTCATTAGAGATGTGCATGTAGTAAAATGTCAGATATTCTGAGTATGTAGGCTGTTTGTTGTACTCTTGTATTGGACTTGTAGGTTCAGGACACACCATGACCCTTAGGTGTCCATGTGGATACCTACAATAATATAGAAATAAAGCACCCTAAATTCTCACTACCCAAGCTGTTATAAGATGAGGAAGTCATCAAGGGGGAGGGGGGTGGAGATGGACAGTGCTCTCCTTTGGACATGGAAGATAAGGAAAAGAACAAATTGTGGGTAGAAAAAAGAATTGGGCCTGACATGCTGCCTTTTTAGTGTGGTTTGAGATCTGGCAAGATCAACATTTAGGAGTGAAACTAAGGCATTCTGGGTAGACATAATGAAGGACCTGTATGTAGGTGGTATTATAGATGATCAGAGTCAAGATAACAAAGCAAACAAATCAAACATATTTTACACATAAATGCAAATAGATAAGCAAATAAATTAGTAACTATCCTTAATTAGAGGGTAATGCAGGAGCATCTCATCCTTAACACTTCATTGGCTGTAGAAGCCATACTTTGGGATGCCTTTAGTTCTTCCCTTTTATGCCATCAGCAATACATCATTCTTAGACAAATCATCAAGAAAAACAGTGTTGGTACTATTGCCTAAGCCTTCTCTTGCCAACTAATTTTAATGGTATTGTAGATCTATGATATGGGTAAGGTAGGATTTGATCCAATGACTATTGGGATTCTTTCCATTGTTTTCAATGGGTTTTGGCTCCAGCCTATAGTTTAAAGCCCCTTTAGAAAAGCTTTCTTTTGGTCACTCATGTAACTGCATGGGAGAATCTTCTGCATCTGTATGCCCATAGCTCTTTTATGTTTTCTTCTGCTAATTTAAATAATTTTATATACAAAATGGTGGTGCCCACAAGAAGTGAAACTCTCTTGAGGTTTTAGTAGGGCTGGGTGTGAAACAATTTTCACATCCCAGGAAAATTTTCAAGATTTCAATTTTTTCCCCATCCTGAATCAGACAAAACTGACTGTGATGGGGTTGTGTATTTAGCAGAGTGAATGGGCACATGCACATTCATTGTGGAAGCAGGTAGATGTCTAATCCCTTCAGAGAAACCTCAGTCCTTATACATACAAGATGTCCATCTTCCATTACCTTGGGGAAAACTATAAATGAAAAACTATTTTAGAGATATCTGACTGCAAAATATGCCAAGACAGAAAATTGCATTAAAATGGAGTAAAGGCTGAGAGTATGGATCAGCAACTCAAGAAGAAAAATAGATGTTGTAATTATCCAAAAAACCAAGTATTACAATGCCAGGAAAGTTTCAAATTCCCAGAAGAATAAAAGAAAACATGTCCCAATAAATTACAAACCATTGGGTTATTTTTCTGCAGCATGATGACAACCATGTTCCACCCTAGAGGTAGCTATACGTTAGTATGCGCATATTGACTAAATTGCCACTTTGCAAATGTTTGAAATCCCAGAATGGAATTGCTATATATAGATAGGCTTATACAAGTGAGTAAAGAGGAAATAGGATACACAGAAACAAATGTTGTGTACACATCAGCAGTATTATGGCAACATTGAAAAATTTGCCATCTTTACTTAAGATAAATAGATTAGATACTCTCCTTACCTCAGTGTCTATAGCTTTCATTTGTGCCTTTCTGTATTTTCTACAGGAAATGCCCTGATGTTTCAGATATCTCACTGGCAGTGCTTATTTACCTATCTAATGCAAATTGGATCTTTTTAAGGGCTGCCATGTGCTTTTTGGGTTAAAGATGGTATCCAGCTAATACAGTCAAGGGTACAGATGCAGACACTCAAGACTAATGACTCAGGCTGAGCAAATTCCCCACAAGGATTGTGGTTATATGAAAAAGAGGCAGGTGTAGGCTGCTAAAACCCCACTAAGCATATATGCAGCCATCCAAAGCAAGTACAAGCTGCTAGGTATGGCAATGATCATGTGTCTCTTGGGGAAATCTGCATAAGTAAGAACCTCACAGCCCATTTGGCTGGCTTGTCTTGTCAGCCTGAATAATAATAGCACTAGATGCACCTGATAGGAAGCAGTTCTCCCAGAGATATTCTATGATGCACAGCCTTGTTTTCATGATATAATCAGGATCCGACCCAAAATGTTTCTAAAAAAATGTACGCCTTTTACTGGGGATGGTGTCTTTGAAACAATGTCAACTCTGTTGGAATTAGGGGTTCAGGAATATTTCATTCTAGTATTCCTCATCTATACTCACAAGAGCCTTGATGCAAGTAGTTGAGTTGGCAAAGATTTGTTCTCTTACTTACCAAATGTAAATCCGTATATGCTATTGAATCTGGGGGGGAGGGAGGCGGGAGCACGGAGGTGTGTGTGCGAATACAGAGCACCCTGCACTTTGGCAAGAAGAGATGACACTAATGCATTCATCATAAAAACATGTAATATACTCAGGAGACTTCTGATTCCACTCAAATATAGGCATATGTGAATAGAAATTAATGGAAAGTATTTCATGCCTCCCATGAACATTTCTTAACCTTTCAGGGACTCAATTACCACCCCATATAAAATGGTGATAATATTAACATACATATGGTTTGGACATACTAAATACTATGGGTTCTATCCTTAAATTCCACCTCCTTCCTTTTTGTGCTATTTCCACCATGCAAAGGAGCAAGAGAGTTGCCCTAGGCATTCTACTTGGAAAATCCCTGGATGGCATTAAACAGGTGAAGGGGCAGGAGTAGGCTGTTCTAAATTGCTGTGTGAACAGAAAGAAGGTTGTGACGGGTTGGACCCCCCATTTTGGGATGCCACCTGATGTACTGGGATTTCACTGAGCCTGCCTGCTCCACTAGCCTGGACTCCCTCTCCCAGTTTTGCTGAATTAGGCTTTCCGGCCTCTGGCAGAACACACACACACGGGTAGGGACGCACCAGCTGTAGAATCACACAGTCTACAAACAGCTCTCTATAGGAAGACTCAGCTAGGAAATTGCCCAGCACTCAAGTACAGCTCTCCTCTGGAAAATACATTCAAAATAATATTGTTTTGCACTGTAGATAAATCTATACAACATAAGCTCATAAATTCACCCCCTCCCTCATGTGGAGGAAGATATGCACAACTTATTGTCCCCCAGTTATGAATTGCACAAACTGGGTTTAATAATACAAACAAGTTTATTAACTATAAAAGGCAGATTTTAAGTGATTATAAGGATAGCAAACAGAACAAAGCAGATTACCAAGCAAATAAAACAAACCGCGCATACTAAGCTTAAGATCTTAAAGAGACTGGTTTCAAGAAGTAATTTCTCACCCTAAATGTTGTTTTAGGCAAGTTGAAGAGTTTCTGTAGCTTAGAGTTCCAGGTATTTCTCTTTACAGACTAGACTCCTCTGTCTCAGTCTGGACTCAGCCCTTGCCTTCCCCACAGCTCAGTTCCTTTGTCTCTTCCAGTGCTTTCAGCAGTCTTTCTTCTTGGGCATAGTTGTAGCTCTTTGCCTTTGGTTGAAGGAGTTCTTTCCACTGTACTGATGGGCAGGAAGACAATGAAGAAGAGCCCTGTTTGCCTTATTCCCCAGGCTTAAATAGAATTTACATAAAATGGGAAGCCTTTGTTTCCAGTGGAAAAGTACCAGCAGTGTCCAAGGTGGTGTTTAGTACCAGGTGACATGACCACATGACCTAGTAAAGTCACCGCAATGTCCCAGGATGTCTTTCAGGAAGGAGAGAGATTAGTATCTTTAAAGTCTTATTGTTTCTTCCTAATGGCCCATCAAGACTGATGGGTGGGTGTTTCCCAAGTACACACCCAGTTGTAATTGTTACATAGTCAATATTCCTAACTTTAGATACAGAAATGGCACAGACATACAAATTGGATAATCACATTCAGTAAATTATAACCTTTCCAATGATACCTTACAAGACCCATCTTGCATAAAATATATCTCAGTTATGCCATATCGATATCATAAGCATATTTCCATAAAGAATATGGGGTCACTCCTCCCTCCTTAGATGGTTGGTCTGCCAGTAGTGTGACCAGATGTCCTGATTTTACAGGGACAGTCCCGATGTTTGGGTCTTTTTCTTATATAGGATCCTATTACCCCCCACCCCCGTCCCGATTTTTCACATTTGCTGTCTGGTCACCCTATCTGCCAGAGGGTTGGTCACTGACCAATGCGGAGGCAGTGTGCCTAAAATCCTTTTTTGGCTTTGGTAATACAACCTCCAAGTGTTACCAAACACTGTAATGTTATCCATAGGTGTTTTTGCAAAGTTCTGGGTTTTTGTTCCCAGGTTGCCTGAAAACATTCTGGTATGTAGCATTGTTAACATAGTGAAGATATCAATATCCTTTAAAGTATATGTGTCTTGGCATTCAGCCATCAATGCTATGAGGCAATGCTGCCTCAGTTTCCCCTTCCACACAGCTTCTAGATTGGTTATACTTTCTCTGCTGTGCCAAGCTTTAAGCCTGTTCTCAGGTACTAGCTGAGAAGCAGTATTCTTATGAGACTTCCTTGTTACCACCTCTAGTTTGTACCAAAGTTTATTCCAAAAATCATGCATGTCAGACATTTTGAAAGTAGTTACCCTTAGTACCAATTTTTTTGTTTTAACCCATAGAATGTGTAGTAAGAGACATAAATTACCCACAAATTCATGACAGAGAGGCGTTTCCAAATATGATTATCATGCCACACCTTCTGTTTAGAAAATCCAGTTTGTTCAGTATTTATTGTATTTCTCATCCCCTCAGTAAAGGGTCTGAGTTTATGTATGTCTTTGGGGTTTTGGCAAGGAACGGGTGTATGGAGTCCTTGAATATTACTGCCTCCCCCCTATGGAGTCCCCTGTTCAGCTGTGGGCTCACAGCTAACAGTCAGAATAGAACCCTCACTGGTAAGCAATGCACCCTCTTACCTCTTTGAATTGGGCTTGTCTCCAGTTACAGAGCCCACGGAATCCACATTCTCTGGGCTTTCCTCTGGGACACATTTTTCTATGCATTTAGAGTGAGTTCTGTTTCTCGTTTAACTGCAACTTCCTGGCAGCCAGCAACCTGGACAGTCTTCCTAGTGTCAGGCAAAACATTCCCATCCCCCAAGGGAATAGCCACTGGACAGGAGCTGGTCTCAACCACCTCCACCTCAGGTAGCAAACTGCTTTGCACAGCTGCAATGGAATTAAAGAGACACTCTCCCATTTCCTCAGCAGTTTCTGTAGCTTTACTCTTTCCCACTGGGGCTTCAGCACAAGATTCCTCCTTGCTGCTGACAGACCCCTGGACAGCCTGAGCCATGTTAAAAAAGTCATTCCCCAAAAGGATTTGTGTAGCATATTTCCATAAAGAATATGGGGTGTAACATCACAAAGGTCCTTGTACTTAAGGCACTGGACTTAGATTTGGGAGATCTGGGTTAGTTTCCTGGCTCTACCATGGACTTCCAAGTGGGCAAGTCACTTAATCTCTCTGTGCCTCAATTCTCCAACTATAAAATAAGGAAACCAGGAAGAGGAGGAAAGAGAGTCAGCTACATTGGAAACATTCCCAGATGCACTGGTATCCTGAGGAGAGTGGGAGTTTTAAAACTGAAAAAATTGCAAAAGATCGGTGATGTCACTTGAAGAAGAAAGGATATGTTATCCTCATTTTTTCTCCCACCCTTTGTCTGTTTAGACTGTAAGCTTTTAAGGGCAAAGACTGTCTCTAAGGGTACGTTTACACTACCGCCGGATCGGTGGGTAGTGATCGATCTATCGGGGATCGATTTATCGCATCTAAACATGATAAATGGATCCCCGATCGCTCTGCCGTTGACTCCGGAACTCCACCACGGCAAGAGGCAGAAGCAGAATCGACGGGGGAGCGGCGGCCATCGATCCCGCGCCACGAGGATGCGAAGTAAGTGATTCTAAGTCGATCTAAGATACGTCGACTTCAGCTATGCTATTCTCGTAGATCTTAGATCGATCCCCCCCACCCCAGTGTAGACCAGGCCTAAGTGTTTGTACAGTGCCTAGCATATAGGGCCCTAATTTCAGTAGGCATCTCTAGATGCTACTATAATACAAACAAACAAGACCCAGGCCTTTATTTATGTTTAGAAATGACCTAGCATATTTTGGTGAACACAGGAAATAAATATTATTATGATTGTTATGATTATTATTTATTAATAACTGTTCATATAAAGCCATTTGTTAGGGTTACCATTCGTCCTGGATTCCCCCAGACATGTCCGGATTTTTGAACTAAAAATAGCGTCCGGTGGGAATTTGTTAATGTCCGGACTTCCCCCCACCATGCAGAGCACGTGCGGCTAACAGGGCAGCCGGATGGTGCCACTTACATGGGGCTCCGACAGCGAGAGAGAGAGACCCTCCTCCGCTTCCCCTGCAGCATATCTCACTCCCTCCCTCCCTCCCTGCATTCACCTACGGCAGTCTGAAGCTCCTCCCCCGCTGCTGCCCAGCGTGCCGGGAGAACGGCTCAGACTCAGCAAGCTCCCAGAGAGACCTTAGGTGAACCGAAGGCCAACGACAAGGGAGCCAGGGGGTCGGAGAAGGGGCAGGGAGGTTCTGGA